CAATAAGCAATCCATCACTTTTAAATATTAGCGTGTTTCTCTGTTTCTTTTGTTGGCATTAAATGCATGTTTGCTAAAGCATGATGTGACGTTACTGTAGCTGCCTCTGGAGAACAAGTGAGAGCTGCTGCTCAGTGGACAGCTGAGAAGCAGAGCGAATATGCATGCAGATATATTTTCACATCTAAGTCAAGTTAAGGGTTTATTTCAACCAAACCAGAGTTTATGATTGTTTGAATAGTGGACTGACTATGATGGTTTTGGTAAGTTTATTTTGTGTCTTTTGAGTTTGAAGTGTTTATTGATGTCTTACAGCAGTAAAGCTAACATTAGTCTTAGTCGGTGAAAGAGAGAAACTTGGATTGGTGTACGGTTGTATTTTTCTGTTTAAATAAGAAAATTCGGCGTAAGAAGAGGGCTAAATTGGGTTCTCAAACTGGTGTGACACGCTTTTTGGCCCTGCTGATGTGTGCTATCACCATGACAATTAACAAGAAATGATTTTGTTTTGTACAAGTCAAATGACCATGGCTAATGGCTCTGTATGTTTTGTGTTCATTCTATTTCATGTGTTCATTGTAAACTAGAAGTCGTGAATTAAGAGTGACTTTGTGAACATCTGTTTGTGTGATGTTCGTAGAATAGAGATGAGAGAGTGTGGATGAGGCGTCTTGAAAAATAACTAACAAAGCTATTGAAAAAGTTTAGAAATGGAGGCCAACATGAGTGTATGTGTATCTTGACTCTGATCCTACTTTCTAGATTATAAAGAACTTTAATCTGCCAGGGCAGCTGTTAGGAGAACTACCCTGAGTCCAGGCCTCTTAGACAGCCATGGTAACCACGCCTGTCTGACTGTAAGCATTTCAAAATTAAAATACAAAACATTTCTCCAATGCTTTTATAGTGTTTTTTTTTTTACTTTGCAAACGAAATGGAGTACAGAACTGAACTGAAAATCTACTTTATTATGTTCGACTGCACTCAAAAAAGGCACCAGTACATGTAGAAGTCTGCCAGCTACCATGGTGAGTGATTGTAATTTCTTTAGCATAAGGACTTGTACACTGTAGGTCAGTGCATGATTTAGTGGATCTCTGCCTAACAACAGCATTTACAGTTTAAAGATGTGTGAAATTCATTATGTGACTTGACAGTCAAACACTGTTCAAAGCGGACTGTATTTAATATTTCAACTTTACCTCTGTATACTACTTAGGTATAATACTTAGGAAATTACTGAAATGTCTATACATGCACAATATGAGGGTGAGAGGATAAACCTACCACATGGCTCATGGCTCAGAGATAGAGCGGGATGTCCACCAATCAGAAGATTCGAGGTTTGATTTCTAGCTCCTCCAGTCCACATGTCAAAGTATCATTGGGCAAGATACTGAACCCCCGAAATTGCTCCTGAGGGCTGTTTCATTGTTGTGTGAGTGTGTGTGAATGCCTACTGAGTAGCATGTGGCAACTTGTATGGTAGCCTCGGCCATCAGTGTGTGAATGGGTGAATGTGCCTTAGTAGTGCAAAAGCACTTTTAGTGGTCAGAAGACTAGAAACTGCACTAGAAAGTTTAGTTAACCTTTGTCATTTACATGTGCAAATGGAGTGATGACATGATTTGTTTTCACCTCACTTGAGCAAAGGGTAACTTTCATGCAGTGGGCTAAATAAAAAAATCTGATACAAGTGTGCCAGTAAGTGTGTGTGTGTGTGTGTGTAATCGTTCATGGTTTGGTGGTTACAGGATCATCAGTGTTCAAAGAGACATTAATTGGAGCATGGTTTCATGTACACCACATTACAGTGTGTCAGCTTGTGTTGACTGAAGCATGACTGGGGTGATTACATTAGTGTTTTGTTTCAGTCCACTGATCACTCCAGTTTTTAACTTCCCATACTTTGATGTTGTTAGTTGTTATTCATTATGTCTTAATGACATTAGATCTGCAGGGATGGATACTGTGATGAGTAAATGGGAATATGTAGCTCTGCAATTTATATGAATTTACCCTTTAACAGTAGAGCAGCAGAGGGTAAATAAGTATTTAATTGGGGGGAAATTTTTGTTGCAGTGTGAGAGACTGCACTGCCATCTGCTGGCATATTTCAAACATGTAAAACTGACTACACAAGCAGGCTTCCTTTTTATAATATTTAAAATGTATATTGCACTAAATGTTTTAAGTATCTTTGCATGTGCACATTATTTTTGCCTTAATAAACTGTTATCCTACTTGGATCATATTTTGCATGTCCATGTCAAGCACATTTCTCTCTCAGCCCCAGTGGTGTCTTGGACAGAAGAGAAGTTTGGTTCTACTTTAGTTTTGATCTCTGAAGGCTCTTCATTAGCTGTTTCTCTTAAACTTCCAAAATGACATTGTGACTGCATGTTTTGCACCCAGATATCAGGATTGAGCTCACTCATGGTAATTGTTTTCTTATTTGAACAAAATCCTTTAAGGCCCCCATATCTGGCTAATGCAAGTCCAGGTAAGAATCATGTTTGATTCACCAAGCCCTGACTCTCAACCTGAACCACCTAAATTAGAGTTTGCTTGCTTTAACCCCAAAGTGCAGCATTGGTGTGAGCTCTAATATGCAGATACATTAAAATGTAGAGGATAAAATTGATACAAAAGAAGAGCCACGACAAGATAAAAAAAAAGCCTGTCTTCAAGTTGAATTAATAAATATGATCTCATAAACATCACAGATTTGGGAATATGTTAAGCTCACTGCTGTACAATCAGCTGCATTTACAAGACAACTCGTTTATTTTTGGCTTCCTATCAGCAGGCACACAAACACTCAAACTCATACAGTGTGAAATATTTCTAGGTATCTTTCACTGATCCTCGTGTTTACTGATTATGTCACACAACTTTTTCACGGCAGACATTTTGTCAGGTCACAGTTAATAAAGTTAATGATAGCTGCGTTCCATTTAGGGCAGGTCCTGGTATTGTGCATTCTGGCTCAATGTATTAGCTTACCAGCACACTTAATGGAACTGAGCCATCGTTAATGTTTCACCTGTGCTTTTCCACCTTGTAACGTCCAAATATCTGTTGTGAGAAGATGGAGGTGTTGGCTGATAATCTAAATTCGGGAACAGTATTTCGTTTTAGAGTTATAATTAGAGTTTTGTCGGTTTAGGAGCCAAAAATCATTAGCCGAACTAACAACATCAAACGGCCGAACACAAGTTTGAACTTGAACAGCGCCCCCACCCCCTTGTACCCGTTATTTCGTCTGGCGCATTGAGGCAGAGAGAGAGAGTGCACCCTGTGTGTATCAAACCACAAGCTAACGATTTTTGGTGGGAGGTGAGTTTATTTACATGCTACCACATTTTTGTAGAGAAAATTTAGTTGACTGACATCAGTTTACCATAACTTACCGCTCACAGCATCCCTTCTGTGCGCCAAATTATTAGTAACGTAACGGAAGTTAGTTAGCGTTAGCTAAACTTTGAGGTATTGTTGCTAGCTAGCCTTAACGGCCGCTGCCAGTTACTTTTAGCGTGGGGAACCACCTTCAATGATATTTAAATTTGTTGTTGGAAACTGTAACGTTAATCGATAATTGATGTTTGTAAATGTCCAATGTCATTAAGTAAGTGTAATTTTTTTTCCATCACCAAGTGTTTTGACTGTTTGAGCTCTAATATCAGCTAACCGCAAAGTTCATTCTTACGTTAGCATAACTTACAGTGAGAGAAATAGGTTAGCTAACGTTAACCCTGAATTGTCCTGTTAATCTCTGACACTTCTTGCCTTGTTTCCGAAACTACAAGTATGACAAGGTGTCCCAAAATATAACGCCAGCAAATGCAACTGTGTGCAGCTGTATATCTTTCTGTAACGTTGCCTAACATGACTTGCTGTAGCACTTATTGCTGGCTCATGCTGACAGTAGCAGATATTGTTGAATTCCAAGGCATTATAGAGGAGTCTGCCATTTAAGATGCCAGATAAACAGAAGAAAAGTCAGGCATAATTTCATACTCAGGCTATTTAAAGCACACTGACAGCATGTCAGTATTTGCTTTATCTTAAAACTAAGATAAACCCCTGTGGGTTTGAGCAAATCTGCAAAATATGAGTCTGTGAAGATAACTTAAACCCACCAGTAGGTCGTAGTAAATGTGTCAAATCATTTCTGACTTATTTGGGGATAGATTTAGGGTTTTGGTTAGATATGCATGTCTTATACTTATGCTCGTTGTAGGCTGATAGATTAAATGATGTTATGTTTTTCTTGTGGTTTTCTTGTATGTCTGTCTTCTTTCTTGACATAGTTGGTAATCAATCAATCATTTGTTACATAATATATTAGGTACAATTCAGTGTAATTTGCAATGTAATCCAGGCAGTCTCTTCAGTTTGCAGTGTGAATTCAGACCCTTTTTGCCCAAGCCTGTAGTCTGCAGTGCATGTGTTTGTTATCCTACCAGGATTGGGAATTAGCACCTGCTAAATGCTGGTAAAATATGCAAATGGCTTCTAAAAAACAAACAAACAAAAAAACAACTGGTAATCTATTAAGTGGCTGGTCGATTTTGAAATCCACCAGCCACAGTTAATTTTCAACCATACATCCTCGATGTTTCTGGCAACCCATGAGCTACTAATGAATTGAAAATGTTTGAAGTAACTGCAAAAGTAAACAAAAAATTTAATACTATGATTAAGTTTGAGTCATTTTCTTTTTGTGTTTGTTTATTTTTCCAAAATAATAATCTGACGGTAATTAACTGATGGTCTGCTGTATGTGTTTTCCCCTTTTTTCCCCAACAGACATGGATAAAAAAGCACTTTAAACAATAAATACAGTTTTCAATAGGCTCAATCCAACCAGACACCTGGCATCGCTGTCCATCTACTCAAGGAAGAGCAGTTGTGAGCAAAAGGCCGGTCTCCATCACCAGATAAGGCTCTCAAGCCCATTTATTAATTTAAAAATCGTGATAGTAAACAGTTGTGCCATGAAGAGAAAACTGAAGAATTTCAGTCCAAATGATGGTTATGAGACTCTGGCAAAAAAAGTCTGTAGTCCAAAGGATTTGTCCCCTGACCTCGGCTGTTTCATGGACTTCTGCAGCCCTGTTGCAGGACAGGACTCCATGTCCTCTTTTGTGATCTCTACGCCTAAATTGTCAGACAAGACACTAGAAGCCAAGAGTGGAGTAAAACGAAGTGTGAGCTCTCAGGTACACCTGAAGCATGAGGAATGTGCGTCCTCAACAAAGCCAGGGGTTGATAAGGGGACTGAGCCACACAGTTAGAAGTCTGAGAAGGTTCTCTTAAACCTCGCACCTCTCTTTGACTGTGGTGTTGATGACATCTCGTGCCTCATTCCCTTGGGCCAAAAAAATAGTAGCAAAGGATTTTCTGACAGTATAGAGAGCTGCAAAAGTCCAAGTAGCAGCACATTTCCAAACATCCCAGTCGCTACTCTCACTGTGGTGCATGGACAGAAGCTGGAACGAGGAGCTGGAAAAGTGGAGGACAGAGAAGAGGAGCTCAAAAAAGAAACTCATCAGAAAGCAGATGACGATGATGACAAAGGCTATTTCTCCATGTCCTACTCAAAGGACAGTAAAATAGGTAAGACCCTTACTCAGTCAGTATACTCTCAGCTGCCTCTTACCCCCCTGCTCAGGATAGATTAGGTTGAGGAGTCAGGAGTGCCATCCTGAAAGTTCATCTGAGCAAGATTGTCATAAACAAACTGAGCTGTCTGGACAGCACTTTTCATTCACTGTTAGTGATTTATATCTCAGATATCTCTCATATCTCTCCCGTAGAGCATTTAGAAGGAGATGTTGAAGAGGAGTGGAATATTGGTCCCCCCATACTGGAGTCCTCCATCGGCCAAGTCACATTAGGTGGAGAGGAAACCACTTTAGACACCAGTTATGAGACAACATTACCCCTCCAAGTTCAGGTAAGCTGTTTGAACAGGAAGTACTGATGGTGTGGTCCTATACACATTAGCCACATTTGTTCACTGAGTTAATTTTGTATGATGTATAGTTTGTAGTAGTGTTGCTCCAATACTGAAATTTCTAACGTTAATTCAAGACCTTGAAAAACACTAATATTTAATAAAATTGACATCGAGGGCATACAGTGTAATTAAAAGAAAAAAAAAAAGATTTTATTTGAGTTTTTAACACTAACAATACACAAACAAGGACATAAGAAATACTGGACATAAAAAAAAAGATGACGACAAAAACAAATAATAATAAAACTAGTAGTAATAACGATGATAAGATATTATAAGATAAACAGAAGCACTGACAGAGAAAAAAACAGTGTAATAATACGCCAGTTCGTAGTGTGTCCACAGCAACTTTGAGGCAGAGAGATAGCATCCATGGGTTAAAGACCATGAGTGGTCAGGGAAAGTCCAGTGGTGACAAAGGGTGTTTCTCAAAGTCAAGGAAGCAACCTCAATCAAATTTCAAGGAGGCTACGTAATGGAACCCTGCTGAAGGACTGTTCAAGGATCCCTCCGAATTTCACAGAGGACTGAGGCTTTCTTTCAGAGAAATTCCAAGGATGCATGTGTCAGCGCTCGACAGTGCGAGCATTTAACTCGCATTTGCGACTAAAAATAGGTGTGTGCGAACTGTAAAAAATATTTAGGAGCACATGTGCGCATAAAAAAAAATCAGCCGAAGCAGCCTATATTTTTGTCAATAAAAAAAAATAATAATCTAACCACAAATGTTGGAGGAACTCCAGCCGCATTCCCTCTTCCCTCTTCCCCATGTGACACGGTTATGGGCGGTTTTCCAAGCCACTGTCGGCACAATGAATATAAGTCCCACTGTCGGCAGGGTGGAAATAAGTCAAAGTGTGGCGGAGGAGACGGACCGGGTTAAGCAGCGGACCTTCGGGGAAGGCTGCTCCGTTCTCCCCACAGTTAGGGACCGTTCTGCATGGCCAGGCTGTTGGCTGGGTGGAAATAAGTCAAAGTGTGGCGGAGACGGACCGGGAAAAGTGGCGGACCTCCGGGGAAGCCTGCTCCGTTCTCCCCGCAGTTAGGGACCGTTCTCCACGGCCAGGCTGTCAGCTGGGTGGGAATAAGTCGAAGTGTGGTGGGGAAGAGGGACCGGGAAAAGCGGCGGACCTCCGGGGAAGCCTGCTATGTTCTCCCCGGAGTTAGGGACCGTTTGCCATGGTACCGCTGCTGGGCAGGGAGGAAATGAGTCCTGCAGAGTTTCAGAGGACCTGGAGAATGTTTTAGAATAGTAATAACAATATATAAGATAATCATATTGCAAAGATAGTGTATATATATAAGATAATAACATTAAAGACACAATTAAATTGTAATACTTTTTCAGAACTTGATGATTTTACCTTTCTGTACATTTTGTGTACAAATTCATTAAATAATTTTGCTTGTAAATGTCTATTTGCATCACGTTTATTACGGAAAACATTATTTGATCAATATACATTGTGCCCCTAAATTTCTTTGTGCGCTCCTTACTTTTTCAACTTAGGAGCACATGTGCTCCTTGGGAAAAAAGTTAGCGTTAAGCCCTGTGTGTGTATCCTCAGTTGGTATAAAATCCACACAATGCTTTGCACACGATTTGCTGGAGGTGAAGGTGTGGCCTCTTCAATTAAACTTGGGCCAGCGAAGTCAGGCAGGATGTAATTGTTTTTATCATACAGGTGTGGGGAAAAAAAAGGACAGCTTATAATTCACACTTTCCAATGCATACACTGCAAAATAATGAGCTTTTTAAAATAACGTGATTTAGATAAAAACAAAAGTTTTTTAATTAATCATTTACAGCAGAGATGGAGTGCTAAGTGTCCTCCTCCCCTCCCCCCACTATTCACATGATAACGACATGATAATTGCTTTCATTCTGTCAGCTTCAATTGGTGTATTTTTCGGGGGAATCGCGGTGAGAACAGCCACAGTAAATGCAATATGTTGGAATATCCTGCAGGTCAAAGCATCACTCACTTGTTTTCAGGTGAACATATTTTGGAGGATTACACAGCGGTATCGTGTACAGGCAGCAGGTCAGCAGTTTCAGAGCAGCGCGGCTCATCAGATCAGATCCACTATTCAATTTGAGAGTCTGTGTTTATACTGTAAGTGATAATTTCAGCTGCTGTCTTTACTTCATTACTCTGAAGTATGATCCAGAGATAAATTCTCCCTAAAAGCCACAGTCTCTAAAAATACTACCATATATGTCTGTGTGGAAGGACCCTTGCCTTGCATCTGGAGAATCCTTTCTTAGGAGGGAAGGTTCCTTGACTTTGAGAAACACCCACAGTGTCCTGGTAGTTCGAAGCACACAGTGTAGTCTAATGCAAGGAAGTAGTCCAGTGTGATTAGTCAGCTCGACTCCTCATCCTTTTGATGTGTTCAATAAAAGGTTCCCAAATTTTAGAAAATGTGATGAGGGAGTTAGACAGCCTACCAGATTTCCTCAAGATGTAGACAAACCATGTCATCTAGCCATTTGGTGAAGCAAGGAGGGGAGGCAAAATAACACTTGTAGCTATGACTATACTGAATGCAAGAGCTTGCTGTAATGCAGGGGGAAGAGTCAAAGAGTAATCAGAACAGCCCAGTGTCACAGTGAGAAAGGAAGCAATATGGCTTTTTAAAAAACACAAACGCTTCAGTTTACATCAGTTGTGTTAATGGGAACCATGTCCTCTAATTATTAGTGATTGATCAAGCTAGAAAATATCACAGTCTGGCGGGTGGGACAAAAAGTGATGAAGCAGCGTTCTGAGTACATAATTACTTCACCCTTTAGACCTGTGGTTGGGCAATCTTGACTTAATTCTCTCTGCTTTTCTTCTTCTTAAGTCTCCAAGAGTGCACACGGCCGAGGAGTCTTATGCTCCTGTATATGGATTTGCAGGGCGTTTACCTATGCTTATTAGGATCAACTTGCACATTTATCAACTTACAAGGACCATGAGATTCATCATTATAAGAATACAGGTGCGAAGACTTCTGCCATTTAATAACATGTCGTGAATCTGACCTCGACTGTTAGCAGGACTTTTTCCCCAAATTCATTCTTAAGAAAATTTGGGAGGATATTGTCGACTGAGGCGCAATGACAATAGCGGCATATTTTAAAATTGGTCCAATTTCCATGTCTGTGTTGTGTTCTAATAGGCCCTATGTGTCAGATACCTGATCACAAAGTACTGGACCTCAAGTTGGAATTTGGTGCGTGGTGATATTTGATTTCTTTGCACAGCTCTAGAATTGATATGTATCGATAAATCACTAACAATAACAAACACTTGTTTACATACTGTATTTTCACACACACACACACACACACACACACGCACACACACACACCCCTTGTGTGCTTTTTCAAGGTGAAATCGGTTGTGGTGGTTCCCAATCAGCTCACCTCCAGCAGTAAAACAGATGCTGCACCTCTGCCAGTCCAGACTGCTAAGCCCACCAAGTTGAGCCTAGATGAGAACAGAGCTGCCATGTCTGCCAAAACTGTCAGTGCCAGCAGTCAGAGGTACTGTAGTATCCTCTGTCACCTGTAGGGGGAGCAGTAAATCCATATAAAACGCAGTGGGGAAATTTTGGCTAGGGCTTAATAATTGTAAAGGCAGTTGTGTCTATCCTTGATAATCATCCCATTTTTTACCTGTCTGCCATTCTGTGTCATCAGTGTCTATAGGCTCATGTTTTTTTTAATCTTGATTTGTTTTTACTATGCTCATGGTTTGCTCTCTGCAGCATGAGATTTATTGTATGGCTGAATGTGGTTAAGCATACTTTTATAACAATTTTGTCCCTTTCAGGCCGGTGTTATTTGACAGTGAGAAGGACTGGGACCGTGAGAAACAGCTGTATGTTCATTCAGTCAACAGACATTTGAAGGAGCATCAGCGAGCAGAAGAAGGTATGACCCTGAGCTCTAACAGAAACACCAAAGAACCACACTGAGACCGCCGTTAACAATTTTTTTTCATAGCAATGCAGGGCTGTACGGAACAAACACTTTAAGGAATCATGGTGTTCATGTGTCTCTTTTAATGACTGCAGTCAATATAACAACTGAGCAATTATTTGAACTGTACATTGAACTGTATATCAGAACATTTATGTTATATTTGTAATGTTTTCTCCACTTAGTGATTTAGTCTATTTAAACTTAATATTTAAATGTGGTTGTAAAGAAATACATTTGTGTTTCCTGCAGATGTCATGACTGAGCTGCAGAATCTGATGAACCATGTGGCGGACCAGACACCAGGCACTGGTAGACGGTGGCAGCATCCTTCTGATTTTACTCGCAGGTACATTTTTCTCTGTGGGTTTCTTTAGTTATGAGGAGGAGTGGACTTAAAATAGTCTTGAGGCAGACCTGTTTCAGCCAATGTAAAATATGGATATTTTCTTACTTTTAGGAACTATGTAAGTCGCTTTGGGAACCAAATTCCAAAGGTGACCCTCCAGGAATGGCAGGCCAAGAACTGTGCTAACAAACGATTCGCCAAGGTCCCCAAGATATTTGAAAGGAGCCACGTCTAAATTTGCTTAGTACAGTCTTCTAAACACTTGCACTTAAGAGGTCAGCATGCTGGACTCAGTCCTGTTCTAATGTTATACCTATAAATGTTAGCAATATCAATATTATAACGTGTCAGTGTTTAAGAAAATTAATGCACGTTTTGTGGAATAATGCCAAGGAACCCAAGGGTTCAAGCATCTTAAATGCCTTGCCCCCCCTTCTTCTATAGTTGAAACTGTTCTTGTTTTAATATGTATTTTATGTATGTTTTGTTCTTCTTTCGCTATTTGAAATGTTGGCCTTGTTGGAATGAGTGCAAAAGTATTTCCATAGAAAAAGAATAAGTAGAATGGACATTACCACTCAGATAAACAAACCGACTTGGAGCACTTTGCAAACTCACTGAGCTGAAGTTCTGCAGTAATGACACAACAAGCAGGTGAATAGTACGTTTTCCAATAAGCAATCAGTCACTTTCAAATATTACCATATTTATCTGTTTCTTGCTGGCATCAAATGCATGTTTGCCGAAGCAAGTGAGAACAAGTGAGATCAGCATATTTTCACATCTAACACAGTGAATTACATTTTTTTTTCCAACCAAACTAGAGTTTGTAATTGTTTAAACAGTGGTCTGACTAACTAGATGACTACCAAGACTAATTAAGATGGTTTTGAACAGTTTTATTTTGTTTCTTTTGAGTTCAAATGAAGTGTGTTTTATGATGTCTTAACAAGGCAGTAAAGCTAACATTAGTCTTAGTTTGGTGAAAGAGAAAAACTTGGATTGTTTGTAATTTTCTGGTTTATAAGAAAATTAGTTGTAAGAAGAGGGCTAAATTGGGTTCTCAAACTGGTGAGTGCGACACACTTTATTGCGCCACTAACGTGTGTTTTCACCGTAACAAGAATCGAAATTTTCTTTTGTACTTGTCAAATGAAACCATCAAACAATTAAGCTCAATGTCTTTTCTATTCATTCTATTTCTATGGGTATTCCAAGTCCATGTTTACTGTGGATATGACTGTAAGAGTCCAAACCTGTACCGACAAGTTTATGTGTTTATCCTGTTGATTTCTTGTCTCTTGGTCCTGATAGCTTCAAGTCTGTTTCAGCAAGTGGTTCTGAAAAAGCATTCAAAGTTGTGCAATTGAACAGATTGGGCAGGGTTAGTGGATTGCATTATGTTAAGTGTTCTTGTCACCCAACAACCATCAATTGTTTTGTCAAGCCAAGTGCATTAAAAAGAAGCAGAGTAATTTGTTATGTAAATTTGTTACATATTCCCGGAAATGTTTAACATGAGGTTTTAGTTAGTTCCTGCATACAGGCCTCGAGATTCATGTAAATAGACATCCCTGCACATTTCACTTAAAATCAAGGCAACACAACTTTTCATTTATATAATATCCTAATTTTATATGGGGGCAGGCAGAAATTGTTTTGTGCCTCACATTGGACAGGTGTTAGCAGAAGTGATTGTTTGTTAATTAAGGTCTGTTCACCCACATTATTAAAACATTTTTCAAGTATAGCCTTAATTGTAATGGAGGAAGTCCTGCTTTTGAGTGCTTGAAAAATAATTTTGTAAGCTCCACAAAGTTCCTGTGGACCTCCTTATTGAGGTGTCAGCGTCCATTTCAAAACCTGACCAGGAACATAAACATGACCCTTGGGGATTACATGGTAAAATGTTTGTGATTTGTGTGAACTGACCTTTTAATTGTAGAGCAGCAGTGAGCACAGTGTACTCTCAGCTGCTTGGAGGATTCTCTGCACTGTGGTCTCATTAAACCCTGTAACATTGTAAGAAAAGTGTAAGTGCCACAGGCGCCAAGTGGAGAACTCAGCCCCTAGAGTCAAAGCAGGGCTGCGTTTGTGTGGGGGCGAGACACTGCTGCTGATGAAGTACTCATAATAAAGCCAAACCTGTTCAACTTGATCTACAGTTGTCATCACCTGTTAATGTTTCGTGAATATTGCTTCATCTTTTAGCGTTATTCTGAGTTTGCTTTGCATCATCTGAGCGCTGTACATAGGAACGGGCTGACTGAAGTGACCCCGGGGAGCCTAAATACATAGACCTTATCAGCATGGGGCCCATCCTTTGAATAATACAGGCTGCTAAAGTACTCCTGTCTGTACAGATAGTGGGCCAGCCTGTCCCTGGCCAGACATCCAGAAGGCAGAGGTGTACGGGTGTCAGTGAAGGCCTCGTGACACATGCTGTGCACACTGCAGGGCACGTGCGCAGCAGAGCAGCCACACCACCTCTCTACACCTTCCAACAATGTTTTGCCCCTCCAGATGCATGAGCAGGATCTCGGCAGTGAGGAAGCGGTTTGTGTTCATGCCTCACAGTTCCTCTGCGGCTGTGTTGGGTTTTGTCAAAACAGTGCAGCGCTGAAAACTGAGAGATACAAGTCATGTATGTCAGCTACAAAATCCCACAGCCTCCTTTTGGCTGCTCAGTCAAGCCAATTGCTCATGTATTGATGCAAAGATACACATAATCTAATGTGGGACTTGACTAAGAGCCAAGTGATTTGTTGTGTTTTGCTGTTTAAGTCTCATTGATTTCGAAGTTATTACAAATTCAGGCACATTTTCTTACACAAGCTGCTGACTCGACAGTAAATGTAGTCGCCTGGAACCATGTTTTTCAGGAGAATTAATGTCTTTTTCAGGCAAAACTCCAGTCCTCCCCAGTCACAGTAACATGGCCAATTGTAGCTCTGTGTGCATTTTTTTGACGGAGAAAACTGTGACAGTTGAAGCCTGGGCTTCACATATATTATTCACTAAAGAATAAGCTTGTCTTCCTCGGTTCTGTAAAAGAGTTTCTTAAAAAAACATGTCACCACCCAGACTTTTTTTGGTTTAGCAAGGTTGACACAATCTCATCTTTACTGTTTTTACGTCACTACTTAATGTTCTTCACAATTAAGCTCAAACACAGACTTTGTGGAAAACATTAGATATTTTTTATTTTATTGAAGCATACACAAGTAAGCATACACCATATTCTTCATAATTGAAGTCGTGTAACCTTGTGCATAATAGTTAAACCATGCTAGCCCTCATTAAGCAATGACTCCTGTACACTTAATACAATGAATATAAACATGGTAGCACTAATAAAGCAGTTCAATTTTCTAAACCATGCTTCTTTGAAGATCTCGTACCTATATTTCAAGAACCCATAATGAAATAGTCCAACTTCTCTGTCATATCACAACCATGCGTTTCAGTTTCCAGGCATGTTTGTGGACAAAATACACACTGTGTAAGCTGTGAAAAATCCAGTGCCTCTTCACTGCCCTGTTATGTCATCACAAAGTAGTCCCATTACTGCTACCAGGCATACAGTATATTTCAGGCATTGTATCATACATACAGTAGCAATGAGAACACATCACACTGAAGGGACGTCCTCACTGTGTTGTTAAGAAAAGAGTGGTTTGCCACCGCAGGGCTCAAGTGGAATGTTGAGTTCTTAGTCACCGTTTGTCAAAAGTGATTAAGGAAAAGGATTTTTCGCCTGTGGTTGACAGATCTATACTTCACCTGCTCCAACCAGAAACACTAACAGTGGCTGGATGTCCTCACAGCTATAAATAACTCGAATCCAGTTTGTGTCTTTAGTAGGAACATTTAGGTCCGTGTGTGACTGACTGAGCAAACTTCACTGCACTCCACCACCAGGTATGAAATGTGCGGACTAATTAGATACCAGATTTCCTCCGCTGATTTACCCAATATGTAAGACCTGTGTGTCGTAGTTTGACATAAACACACTACTACAGCTGTGTACCATCAAGCTGAGGCTGCTGAATTATCTGTGCAGGAGAGCTCACTCAAACACATCGCTTGTATGCAGAAGCTGCAACCCTAAAAGGAATAGTTTGACATTTTGGGAAGTATGCTTTCGTGCCAGGCGTTGGATGGGAAGATCGATACCACTCATGTCTGTAGAGGGGTATCAGTCTTCCCATCTCACTCTCCGCAAAAATGTCACGCTGTTCTTGAACAGTGAAGCTGGGCAACAACCTACCACAAAAGTGGATGTATACAAAGCCCTGCATTTAAATTGGTAATAAGGAGTATAGTATTTACAGCGGCAACATAGAGGAGTATCACTTTTTATTCAGTTGTCAATTCTTTTTATATAGTCCAATATCACAAATTTGCCTTAAGGGGCTTTCTGTACAGCATGATACCACACTCTCTGTCCCTAGACTCGTGACTCAAATAAGGAAGAACTTATTCCTAGCTGAACTTCTGACAGTTTTAAACCTCTTATGTTGCTAGCTGAAGTTTTACCCATTCAAGCAACAAAAGAGGAGGGAAGTATATATATATATATTTTTAAAAAAAGGTTCCCCTACAGGGAATGTCGTTTAGAAATATATCATTGGCACACTTAAGACATGGCCCCAGTTCAAAGAAACCATCCAGGGAGACAATCATCATTATCCGTTACTGTGTGGATGGATGCCTATCGATTGGAGAGCCGGCTACCGAGTGCACTGTTCCTGGGGAAAAAATGGATTCAACCTTCAGCCGCAGAAGTTTTCGATGAAACTCTTATTAAGAGTGGAAGCGGAGGGAGAGGAAGGTGGGACGTGATAGAGACCTGCCACTGCAGTAGTTATCATTCTACCCACTCCATTCAACTGTAACCTTCATTGCTCTCTCTTAACCACCTTCTCTGCCTCTGTCTCTCCCCCCACACTCAAGGCTAAGGGAGTTTTGACCTGTTGTGTTTGTGTGCACCTGTCTATTTGTCTGCGTTTACAATAAGTGACCGCGCAGAATGAGATGGAGCCCATGCAGGACAAGAGCTGATGTGTTTATCATTCTGCCCATCAGCCACTAAAAGGCTCTCAAACATTATGTTTGGATCATTATTTAAAATATCTTTTCATCATTTCCCTCGTCAAAGAGTCTTTTTTCATTGTACATAAACAGCGCAATGACATAATGTAATAGAAATACATAAAAGTAGAGGAGTGCTATGAAAGGGCTCAATAATGACAGGACTCCAACTAAATAAATCGCCTACATCTTCACCAGTAGCAGTACCCTTTTACATTATGAGTCTTTACATTTTCCAACATTAGTCATATTTCATTAAAGGCCCTCTAAGCTGACACCACCAAACAAGAATGAAATATAAAATGTATTTACACATTCTGTGGCGACCGTTTCTTCCAGATTTTCAAACTTACCTCAGCTCCATCTACATCTATAATGTTTCCTTTAACTTTGCACACACATTTAAATATCATGTGAAAGCTAATGAATGTGACACAAATGTGAGATACAGGGCCTTTCGTCTTATTAGATAAATCATGAGATACAGTTATTTTAAGGCAGTACTACTGAGTTTGGATCAGCCCTCAAATGAACCGTTTGCTTAAAACAAATTCCCTTACAGTGTACAGAACCGTATGGCAACAGCTGATCCCTTATCGGTGTTCTCCGTCTCCTCGACGTGGAGTTCCAATGCAAATGCTGACTTTGATTCATGAAAAAGTCTTGATAGAAGCCCTTCTGTCTTGGTGACATCTGTTGATGTCATAAGGAAGTCTCTGGGTTGAATGTTGGGCCCGTAAAAATTTTTTTTTTTCCCCATGCTTTCCATCAGAAAGTTTTTACAACAGCGCTGAAAGACTTTGCTCTGAAAGTTC